TAATTCACACAAACACAACACACAAAACACATACATACACACACACACATGTATAGTATATATATATATATATATATATATATATACATACATACATACATACATACATACATACACACACACATGCATACATATATATACACACACACACACATACATACATATATATATATATATATTATATATCAGAATCGTTATACGACCGATTAAGCGCATATATATTCAATCTCCAATCGCAGATACTCAAAACTCTCTTCCCGCACAATTGCACTGTTGCGATTATGTACTTACTACCGGCATTCGAATTATGTTTTCACTCCATGTTGCTGTATACTTATTTCTCTCGATCTCTATCGTTAGAAGGAGAGCTGGCTCAGATGCCCGTGCTCGGTCGGCCAACGTCTCTGGATCGTCCTCTCGGCGCTCAAGTATCAATCAGCTCATGTCCGCTGTGCGACGATGGTCCACTCCCAATATATCACCCCTTGCCAAGGTACTGTTGTTATACGTACCTGATTCCGTAGTATCGAGCGGTACAACATCTAGTTGCGATCTGTATCATTCGCTTATATGCTAATAGTATACCTCCGGTGTACGTGTTATTGTAGTGACGTGTGTAGCGAGTACTTGCTGATAGTATATCTGTTTCTGTATGTATGATCATTTTGTGTATTGAGTATATAGTATATTTGTTTCTGTATGTATGATCATTCTGTGTATTGAGTATATGGTATATCTGTTACTATATGTGTGATCATTTTGTGTATTGAGTATATAATATATCTGTTTCTGTATATATGATCATTTTGTATATTGAGTATATGGTATATCTGTTTCTGTATGTATGATCATTTTGTGTACTGAGTATATAGTATATCTGTTTCTGTATGTATGATCAATTTGTGTAAGGAGTATACAGTATATCTGTTTCTGTATGTATGATCAATTGTGTATTGAGTATATAGTATATATGTTTCTGTATGTATGATCATTCTGTGTATTGGGTATGTGCCAAGGTGTTGTTTTCATATGCTGGCATGGTATTCATTGGACACATCCCATCTGCGCCTGGCTTTGAGGCAGTGAATGATAAGTAGTTCTCCTCTGTGTGTATGTTAAGCCAATTTTAAATTTATATGCCTAGTATATAAGGATGTATTAGATTGCTTGTTACCATGATGGTACGGGATTATAATCTTATACTGCCTGTGGCTAGCAGGCCGTATATGCTTACAAATACCATTCTCTCACAGTTTTAAGTACATGTCGAGTATATGCAGCTGTCGACTTCTATCCCACTCAATCCCTTAATCCTGTACTGAGACAATATGTACCAGTCACACAAAACCAGATTTTATCGATTTGTGTGTATACATAGTTATAGTTTTGAGCCTACCAGAGTAGTCGAGCGTAATATATATGACCCACAATTAGTCGATTTAAATTGGTCGGAATAACCGATGTTATTGAGCATCATATAGTTACCCTAAAAGAATATCGCGCAGTTCCTTGTTGGAAATCAAATGAGGTTCCCATCCATTCAATAACTATCACTCGGAAGTATTCAAGACAAGTGTTCTTGATCAACGGGCTCTTCCGTTCAGAGCAAAAACTCTCCGAGTGTAATATCGGGATCATCTGGAATAATTTTCTCACACAAACTCAACGCATGCCTAACGCAGTTGGGAAAACAACATTTCAAACCCCTATACCCCGAAACATATATAATCTCTTACAGAAACTCAAAGAATTGCTAAAGCAGTTGGACAAGGCCGCACCCAGTGTGGGGCCAGGGGGTAAGGCCAGTAGGCGAATGTCCGCGTCAGTGGAGAAGTCGGTGGTGCAAAAAATCCATGACGAACTATTCGCAAATCCTGAGGTGTCAAATTATGCGGATATGACGGACGTTCACATATTCCTGCAATGGTACGAGGCTGTGGAGTGGTTTCGTCCCTGATACTTCGAATGGACTTATGTTCATGCCAATAATATTCATCCAGTCTTTTCGCTGACTGTCATATCTACGTTGCGCACGTGTTACTTTGTTTAGGTTATTTGAAATATAGTCTGCCGGTTCTAAACTATCATGTGATATTGCGCCATGTTCTGAACAGTCCTGTCTTCTCCACCAACATTGATTCGTGAAGCTTTAGGGTTTTAGGGTTTAGGGGTTTCTTTTTACCCTCATTGGTTTATGAAGTTCAGATATTTAAACATCTCTCGAAGCGCTGTATTATGCTGTTATCTTTCGCAGTTTAATGCAGCAAAATAGTATCCCGACTGACCGCAATTGGCGTACGCAGTTTGTGCTGTCGATGGCAGAGTATATGGATCGTACCAACTGATACCCGATTGTCCACAGCAGCGTATATGGATCGTACTGAGTAAATTTGGCATTTGATTCGATTTTCTACATCTACATTCCACTGCACTACATTTATACACTGTATGAGTTTATTCAGTGTTCAAGAGTATAGACAATTTACTTAAAAAGGCAACTAACAGGTTTGATTGTCAAGCTTTTAGATAGTTCTTTCAGAAATGCATTTGGCATGGGATTGGTACTTCGGGCATACTTTATACCGGGAGTTTATTGTCGTACTCTGTACCAATCATTTGCCAAACCTCGCAATCGCCTTATTTATATATCTTCACGCTGTTGCTCGATACCGTATAACAATAGCGCTCATGGGAATATTCATAAGTACTTTCTGCACACACCCAGTTGGCGGAGATTGCTGGATATAGTCGACTCCATAGGGCATGCACGCCAAGAATTGTACTACGGTACCATTCTACTGCTGATGCACAGGCCTGAGCTCAGATGCGATGCCCTGGGTATGGCTCATATGTGTTCACATGGCATGTGTATGTATATGATATCTGTAATCGTGCGTTCATTATTTTGAAGTATTGTAATGTGTTCTTTTATGCAGTTCTTTTCACATCACACACCGGCATGAAGGATATGTGAATATATATATCTATATATATATATATATATATAGCAAAGTGTGCCTTGCAGCCTCCTTCAGAACACCAGTTGTTTGCATCCGCAGAACTTGAGGACACCGACTTAGCATATACATACTCGCATTCAATACATGTTCAAAGACACAAAATGATATATACGCAGCAGTAAGGCCATTTACGCATCTGTGTTACACAGGTTTATAAATGAACACACTGCATGTTTGCGAACGCAATGCCATTTTTTTAGTGTCTTCGTACATTCTCATTTTTTAGCGCCATATTCTCGTTGAATGCAGTATATGCGCACACCCGCGAAGAGACCGAACTTCGCCGAACCCACGATCACCAGATCATGACCACATTCAAGTACGCTACCCGAAAGTTGTCTCGCAAACGCACATCGTATTCCGAGGCGCTGACGTCCTTTGCCACAGCTGTTGTGGGCTATGTGTACTTTTGCATGCCCAGTGTGTCATCGATCATTTTGACACGGATGAGCCGGCATATTGAGGAATTGAGGGTATGTCTGCAGCTATCTATATTTAC